AGTGGCATAGCTTCCAGCATCACAGCAGCACGCAAGCCCCCACAGTACAACAAACTGACAGAGCAAATAATCCGAGAAGCTGGACTGTATGAAGAGGAATAGGGCATCAGAACTGGAGGAAGACTCATTAACCTACATTGTGCTGATGACACAACCTTGCTTACTGAAAGTGGAGAGCACTTGAAGCACTTAGTCATGAAGATCAAAGACTACAGCCTTCAGTATGGATTACACCTCAACATAAAGAAAACAAAAATCCTCACAACTGGACTAATAAGCAACATCATGAAAAATGGAAAAAAGATTGACGTCAAGAATTTCATTTTACTTGGATCCACAGTCAACACCCATGGAAGCAGCAATCAGGAAATCAAACAACACATTGCATTGGGGAAATCTGCTGCAAAAGACCTCTTTAAAGTGTTAAAAAGCAAAGATGTCACTGTAAGGACTAAGCTACGCCTGACCCAAGCCACAGTGATTTCAGTTGCCTCATACGCATGTGAAAGCTGAACAATGAATAAGGAAGACCAAGGAAGAATTGATGCCTTTGAATTATGGTGTTGGTGAAAAATATTGAGTATACCATGGACTGCGAAAAGAATGAACAAATCTGTCTTGGAAGAAGTACAGCCAGAATGCTTCTTAGAAGCAAGAATGGCGAGACTTCGTCTCACATACTTTGGACATGTTATCAGGAGGGACAGATCCCTGGAGAAGGACATCATACTTGGTAAAGTAGACGGTCAGCAGAAAAGATAAAGGCCCTCAATGAGATGGATTGACACAGTGGCTGTAACAGTGAGCTCAAGCATAACAACGATCATGAACATGGCGCAGGACTGGGCAGTGTTTCCTTCTGTTGTGCATAGGGTCACTGTGAGTCAGAACTGACTTGACAGCACCTAACAACAATATATATACACACACATACACAGCTTTTGTTCTTTCTGTGCCTCATTTCAGATCATTTCTATTGCTGTGTCTTTAAGTTTTAATACTTTTTTTTTTTTAACAATAATTCCATCCAGTGTATTATTCCTTTCAGATATTGTATTTTTTATCTCTAGAAGTTCCATTTGGTTCTTTTTTATGTCTTCAACCCTCTTTTTACTGTGTTCAGGTTTTCCTTTAAATGTATGAACATAGATAAAATATCTGTTTTAATGTTCTTATCTCCTAGCCCCATCATCTCTGTCATTTCTAGGTTCATTTCTATTGTCTGATTTTTCTCCCAGTTATAGACTACTGAATGCTGAACATGTAAATGTTACAGTTTTGAGTGTTTGAATCTAGATTTTGTGGTCTTTCTTTAAAGAATTTTGAGTTTTGTTTTGTTTGGCAGTTACTTTCATTTCAGGTTGTTACATTCAAGGCTTGATTTTTATGCTTTGTTGGAGCAGGTGTAGAATAGTCTCTAGGGATAGTTTGGCCCCACCTCTAAGTCATGGCCCTCCTGGAGTCTCTACTGAATTATCTGAGTGATCTATGAGAACTTTCCATCTTGGCTGGTGAGAACACAAATGATTCCCATCCCTAAGAGAGTTCTAAAAACCAGTTTGCAGCTCTCTGTTTGCTCTTTGCCTGGCTGGCCTCATGGAGTTTCATTCTACATGTGCACATTGTAACATTTACCAAAGATTCAAGGGGACCCCTGTACAGATTTCTGGAGGTCTTTTCTGCAGATCTCCCTCTTTTTTACAACTCTACCCCACATCTTACAGCCACCTCAGTCTCTCCGAACTCCAATCTCCGTCTCTTCAACTCAGCAAGACTACTATGGAATGTGCTTTTAGGCAGAAAGCCGAGGAGATGTACAGCTCACCTCATTTGTTTCCCTTCCCCCAGAAATCACAGTCCTGCACTGTTTTTTGTCTAATGACTGAAAACAGTCGTTTCATATATTTTGCCCAGTTTTTAGTTATTTAAGGTATTTAAGGTAAATATTGTATCTGCTACTCCACCAAGGCCCCCAGCAAAACTTTGTTGAGGTAGGAGTTCTTTGTTGGACCAAGCGTCTGTGTGTGTCCACATTGGCATTAACAAGTAGGATTCTGATACCATTTCATAAAATATGTTTGGGCTGGGGACAAGCTTCCACAGAAAATGACATGCACCAGATCAGTGTATTAGGGCAGGGTGGCTGCAGTATGTTGATATTTATAGGGTAGAAATTTCTTAAAAGTACAGGGTACCTACAGTGTCCTGAGCAAGGGAAAAACAATAGTTAAGTTTTTCTATAGTTCTGCAGCTTAGTGGGTCAGTGCAGAAGTATTAAAAATAGAGCCTGTAGAGAGTTTCAAGAGCATTTACCTAGAAGCTCTAGGTCCACCACCTTATCAAAACCCAAGGTCTTTCTTTTTCTTAGCTAGAGTTTTGTTTGTGAAATTTTATTAGCTCAATAAAGTAGCTATCATTGGAATTCAGTTTGACTGAACAAGACAGCATGATTAATGTGATCTAGAGGTATTTATTTCTAACATAGAGGTGAAAACAAGTAAGGCATCTATGAGAGCAAAATTCTAAATACCTTTCTGATAATTTTCTGTCCTTGGCTTCAGCTCCAGATCTGTTATGTGATGATGGTTTAACTAACATACCAGATTGAAGTAGACTGAAGAGACATGACACCTAATATGTGATCCTGATGGATTTTAAAGAAAAAGCAGAAATGTTTGTTTATTTGTTTGTGCTATAAAAGACATTTGCTTTTGTGGCTTTTAGCAACATTTTAGTGGACTCTGTGGGTTGTGTGATTGTATTGTATTAATGTTAATTTCCTGACTTTTATAGTGGTACTATGGCTATGTAGGTGTGTCCTTATCTTTTAGAATATACACACTGGAGCATTTAGAGGTAATGGGCCATCTTGTCTGGAACTTACGCTCAGTTGGTTCAGAAAATAAGTGTGTGTGTGTGTGTGTGTGTAGAAAGAGAATGAGAATGATAAAGCAGATATGGTGAAATGTTAACAATTGGGGAACCTGGGTGAAGGGTAGGTATACATTTCTTTGTACTCTTCTTGTAACTTTTCTGTAAGCTTGGAATAATAAAATAAAAAGTTAGTGTGCCGGGGGAGTAGTAAGTTCTAAGAAGAAACATCAGGCTAAGGGAGTAGAGAGTGATGGGGGTACTATTTTATATAATGGAATCAGGAAGAGTCTCTCTGATTGGATGATATTTAAGCATGATAATAACAAGCCATTCAGTTATCTGGGAAAAGAGTGATCCAGGCAGAGGAAACAGTGAGTGCAGAGGCCCTGAGGTGCTGAGGTATGCTGCTGAGGTACAAGAAGGAGGCCAGTATAATTGAAACAGAGTGACCAAGAGGAAAATGTTAGGGGTGAGTTTAGAGCAGTAGTGGAGGTATAGGTCATATCATGGTAGGACCTTGAAGACTATGTTAAAAGCTGTGAATTTTACCCCAAGTAACATTGGAATGTTTTAAACAGGAGTCACATGATCTGTGTTACATTTGGAAAGGATTATATGGCGATGGAGTGGGGGCAGGAGTACAAGTTAATGGATTATTAAATAAAAATAAGCACAATAAAAACTTGAGCTAAAGATTTGAACAAAAAGGATGTGGATGGCAAATAAACATATGAAAAGATGTGCAACATCATTCATCATTAAGAAGATGCAAATTAAAGCTGTAATGATACCACTACACATCTCTTTTTTTTTATTAATTTTTTTTGGTTTATTGTTGTAGTTTAAATGAAGTTTACATTTCAAGCTAGTCTCCCATACAAAAATTTATACGTACATTGTTAATGTGACCCTAATTGCTCTCCCCATACTGTGACAGCACAATCCTTCTTCCCACCCCTGATTCCCCATGTCCATTCAACCAGCTCCTAACCCTCTCTGCCTTCCCATCTCACCTCCAGACAGAAGCTGCCCATTTAATCTCTCGTATCTACTTGAGCTAAGAGACACACTCCTCACAAGTATCGCTTTATGTCCCACAGTCCAGTCCAATCCCTGTCTGAAGAGTTGGTCTCGGAAATTGTTTCAGTTCTTGGCTGATAGAGAATCCGGAGGCCATGCTTTCCGGGGTCCCTCCAGTCTGATTCAGACCATTAAGTCTGGTCTTCTTACTAGAATTTGAGTTCTGCACCCCACCTTTCTACTGCTCCATCAGAGACTCTGTTGTGTTCCCTGTCAGGGTGGTCATTGGTGGTAGCCAGGCACCATCTAGTTCTTCTGGTCTCAGGCTGATGAAGTCTCTGGTTTATGTGGCCTTTTTTCCTACTGGGCTAATATTTTCCTTGCATCTTTGATGTTCTTCATTCTCCTTTACTCCAGGCCACTACATATGTCTTAGAATGACTAAAATTTTAAAAACTGATAATAAGCCAGCACTGGCAAGGATGCAGAGCCCGTAGAAACTTCACATTGCTGGTAAGAATGCAAAGTGGTACAACCACTTTAGAAAACGGTTTGGCAGTTTCTTAAAGCATACACTTACGATATGACCGAGCAATTCTACCCCTAGGCCTTTACTCCAGAGAAATGAAAACCTGTGACTGACCACACAAAGATCTGTATACAGTTGTTTATAGTAGTTTTATTCATAATTGCTAAAAACTGGAGACAGTTCAAATGTCCATTAACTGGTGAGTGAATAAACAACAGTGGTAAATCCATAAATTGAATACTACTCAGCTATAAAAAGGAACAAATTATTGATACATGCAACAACACAGAAGAATCTCAGATATGTTATACTGAGTGAAAAACACCAAACTCAACACTCAACATGCATAGACTCCTTTTGACATGTTGCTGTACTTGTGTCCTTTTGATTTTGAGCAGTTCAGATTCTTACCTCTTATGTCATTCTGCCTATTGCTACCAGTGTGAGAAGGATCAAGTAGTATCTTGCTAAAGACATGAGCCATGTTTTCTGGAAATAAAAAAAAGCCTTAGGTCCCTGAGGAAAGGTCCTGTAAGCAGATGTCAATAATGTGAAATTTTTGTTTCTGCTTCTTTAGGAGCATTCCGGAAGAGTTTTCCGACTCCAGTTTGATGAATTCCAGATTGTCAGTAGTTCACATGATGACACAATCCTCATCTGGGACTTCCTAAATGATCCAGCTGCTCAAGCTGAACCCCCCCGCTCCCCTTCTCGAACATACACCTATATCTCCAGATAAATAATCATACACTGACCTCATACTTGTCCAGGTATGAAAAAGAATTGTATACACAGCACTGTGGGTGGGAGATGGAATATTGGCTGTAAAGTGCTGCTAGCTCAGTGAGCCCTCTTATGCCCATTGCCTCAGCAAATCCTGAAAATCAGGGAAGACAGACAACATGAAAACAGTGCTGGGGCTGTCACATTGGATACTGCCTTTCATCAAGGGAGCCAGCCTCAGTTCTGAATGATTCTGGGGTCCAGCTTATGTAATGGAACTAGTATTTCCTGCCCTAATAGGGTTGTTACGAAAATAAAATGAGAGTTGAATCAGTTTGAAAACTAAGAGTAATAACCCAAAAGCCTATGATTTTGGTAGTTCCCAGAGCAAACTAGTACCTATAGTAGAGCCCTTTTGAGACCAGTAGATAATCTAATGTGTGAATGGAAAAATCCCTTGGTGAAATATCACACTGATATCTCATAGTTCTGCTTTGTTAGTGTCATTTGATTATAAAAGCTAGCTTTTTTATCCTTATCCCCACTCCCCTCCAAAAAGGGAAAAACCCATCCTTTGACTTTGGAAATAGAAGCCTCTGGAAGTTGGTGAGAACTCTGTGTAATGTCCTACCCAGATCTTCAGCCTCTCTCTGAGCAGGAAAAGATTATCCAATACCCAGGCTGTCTTATGGTATATTCAGATCATACCTGATGTCGGTCCTAACCAGCTCAAACACTGGTTATCACTTGTTAGTTGTTCTTAGGTGCCGTCAAGTTGGTTCCAACTCACAGCGACCCCATGTACAACAGAATGGAACACTACCTGGTCCTGCGCCATCGCTACCTTGGGGAAACTGCACCAGCTACTGGGCAGCATTGCTACTATTATGATTTCTCGTTCTCTAGACAAATCACAGTGCATGTTGCAGAAGTACACATTTACTATTCTTTTCTGCACATATTTTTATGATATTTCTTCTACATGGGATGATTTGTGCCCTGCCAGGCTCATGTCAGTGCTCACCACTCTCACAGAGAGTATAGAAGGAACCTAGAGGACAAGCAACAGTAGCAATCAAACTACTACCCAGTTTTCCTGACAGCCTCCTTGACCAAGTCAGACAGGCCTTGGGGAGAATCTTAGCTCTGGCACTTCGTAGCTGTGTGACCTTGGGCAAGTAACTTCCCAGAGCTTTAGTTTCCTGTTTAGTAAAATGAGGATTGCAGTACCTACCTCACAGAGCTGTTGTGAGGACTGCATTGAAATAATATACGTAAAATCCTTAGTCCTTAGCACAATCCCCAGCACATAACACGCCCTCAGTAAAAAGTGATCATTATTATTAATATTGTAATTGTCAAGTACCTGTCATGTACCTTTTGCCAAAACTTTCTCTTCTTTAGACTTCTATGTTATTTTACCATTTTTAATATTCTTCCTGGCTCTCTGTTTATGTATCCTTCCTCCTTTCACCCCTAAAGCATAGATAGCCCCTAATGGTCTGCATTGGGTTTTTCTCCCTTCTTTGGCTCTGTTATCTATTTCCAATGCTTCAGCTCTCACCTCGATGTAGATGACTCTCAAATTTGTATGTCCTGCAGCAGCCTCTGCCTCAGTCTTCAGGCTACATTTCCAGCCACCATCTGCACATCTGTCCTTGAAGGCCCCAGAAGCACTACTAGTGCAGCACATCAACAGTCAGACTTTCCCATCATCCACACCATAGGTCCCCTCCAGCCAAATAGCCAAGCCAGCTTCACCCAACTCCTCCACTTCTGTGAGTGATGCCACCAAAGGACAAAGCCTCAGGTCTGTCTTTGACTGCTCTCCGCTGTTGGGAGCAGGTGTGAAAGCTTGATGCTGAGCTGAATGTGGTCAGTCTTTGTCTCAAGACAGCAGAGTCACTCTGCTTGAGGCACCATGGCCCCGAACTTATTAGTGAGCTCAGCCTTTTGTGTAAGTCCCAAACAGGCCGTGTAGCCTTTGACAGAAGTTCCTGTGTGGCAAGGGCAGAGAGCGGGCATTAGGAAGGTCCCCAAACCTGTCTCACAGCTGACAGCTAAGTTAATTCTTTTCCTCTTAGTTGTTGTTGTTATTAGGTCGTTGAGTCGGTTCGGACTCATAGTCACACCACGTACAACAGAAAAAAACACTGACCGGTCCTGCGCCATCCTCACAATTGTTTCTATGTTTATGTTTGAGCCCATTGTTGCAGCCACTGTGTCAGTCCATCTTGTTGAGGGTCTTCCTCTTTTTGCTGACCTTCTACTTTACCAAGCATGATGTCCTTCTCCAGGGACTGATCCCTGCTGATAATGTGTCCGAAGTATGTGAGACAGAGTTTCACTATCCTTCTAAGAAGCATTCTGGCTATACTTCTTCCAAGATAGTAAGAAATGTAGGGAAAGAGGCTAATAACTGTTTGCTCTGTTTTCACACAGGACTCATTAAAGTTGCGGTATTTAATGTATCTGCCAATGCCAGGATGAGCAACAACAGTAACAATCAAACTACTACCCAGTTTCCCTGGACTAGCCGAGGAGTGGAGCTTGGAGACTCCTGTTGGGACACAGTTGGTCTGCAGTCGACCCAGGACGGTCTACTCAGCACAGCTGACTGCATCAGTGCTGCTATCAGAAGATGTCTTTATCTTTTGTGAATGATTGGAACTTTTAAACCTCACCTCCCCCTGCTCCTTTCCCCTCTGCACCTGTTTTTCCCCACTTGGTTCCAGACAAAGATCACCTATAAATATATTTAGTGTTTTGCCAGAATCTCTCTTGCTTTGCCATTAAGCAGAAGAACTAGTTTCCCTGTATAGCCTACTGGGAGAGACTCACTTCTGGGAAGCAGGGGATGCAACTTTAAGCCAGACAGTACCCAGTGTCTCCCTGTGAACTGCAGGAGTGTCCAGCGCCTGGCAAGATCAGCCCAGCCAAGTCCCACCATGCTTAGGAGGAGACAGCACTCTCTCTGTCTAGGCTCCGAGGCAAGAGAGAAAGAGAGGAAGCCAGAATGTACACACTGGAGGATCTGGGCCTCTTTCCTTCTTTTTCCTTCTCAGTGTCTGCCCCTCTTCTCCCTCCCTTCTTCAGCCTGCTTCTCTGCACCACTCAAAAAGAAAGTATGTGAAGAGAATGTCTTCAGTTAGCATGAGGCAGATCAGCTAGAACATGCAACACTTTTTGGAAGAGTTAAATGCAGTTCAGGCAAAATTTCAAATCCAGGCTTTTGCTGCAAGTGACCCTATGTGGCAACAGTGGATTCTTGGACATGGTATTCTCATCATATCTGTAATTCTTCTCTCGTCTCTCCCCCGCCAAAAAAAAAGGGGGCAGAAATTTCCTGGGCTCCATCAATGGCTGCATCTTTTCTGGACTCAGCAGTCTCCACGATTCCATGTAGAGTGTGGAAAGGAGTTGCTGATTACATTTCCTCTCATTAACAATTAGATGTGTAATAAAAAGCGTTGTACTTCATCTTAAATCATGGGTGAGGCTCAGCCTACACAAAGGTTTAAAATGGCCAGGGCCAATCCCTCGGTGCATTTTGCTTAATGGGTCACGTCTCTGATTTCCTTATCAACGCATGTGAGCATCCAATCGCTCACATCTTTGCCAAGACCACGCTTAAGGGATGGTCGGGAGTAAAAGCTGATTTTTTTCACTTAAACGAGTAATAGCATCTCACAAAAATCAATCTATCCATCTCAACCTTGATCTGCACAATCTTCCTTCTGCTTTTCCCAGACCCAGTATTTACAAAAGGGCAAAGCTGCCAGAAAGAGATCAGGATGAAGTTTGGCACACAGGGTTTATTAATGGGTCAGAAACTGCCTTGTCTTTTCTTCCTCTTCCCTGGCCTTATTTTGCTCTCCATCCTCCCCAGCCAATACAATTTCTCTGCAGTTGATGAGCATCATCAACAAATGGACCTCAGCAATGGCCAAGCTGACATGGCCACTTGGAAGGCAGCTGTATGGGCTTCCAAACCAGCCGGCTTCAGGTGCGAGGGCATATTTGCCACACCAACCTGGGAGTACAGAGTTAATCTGTTAGCGTGTGCCCAGCTTGTTCCCGGGGGGAATGAGTGGGCCTACAGGAGCCATCTTATGTGGCATGGGCACACCCATCAAAGGCCCCAAGGCCACAGTGCAGTCTCAAGTTTCCCTTGGAAGTGGAGCAGTCAGGCCCATTGTGTCCATTCCTAATCAAAGCAGTCAAGTAAAAGGAAGACACTATTTAATCAGCTGCTGTAAAAACAACAGAATGGGAGCCAGTTGCCGGTGACCTCAAAGCCAGGCCACCTTTAGTTCAGCAGAGGGAGAGGGGAGAGAAAAGCATCTTCACTTTTCCCTCTGATTTGCAAGAAGGTATCGTCTTTTCCAGACTGAATGTTATTACATATGGAGGGACAGGTTATGCATATGCATTTTTCCTTACTTGTTTTATGAGTACTTTTGAGCTTTCAGTTGCAGATTATATTCATCAGATATTTCCCAGTGTAATGGCATGCCTTTGCTTGGGAAATACTTTGTGAATATAATCGCCTTCCTTACTACCCAAATACTACAGAGCAATGCTTGCTATTTAGCCACTATCAGAGTTCCTCGTCTATTGTGTTGACTATTAATGGCCTTTTGATTCATTAAGGATTTTGCTACAGATGATGGCAGGAGACTGTCAGTCCTAAGGAACACACAGGTCATACATGAAAAAGACATGGGTTTCTACCTGTTTCAGAATATTCAAAGTATTTCTAATAGCCATAACTTTACTAGCCCTTCTGCTATATGCTGCTATTCAAAAGTGGGAGCTGTTGAATTTTCACTGGTGCCCAGGGTATGGCTGTCCCATCGAGGTTCAGTTGACGGTGTATTGTTTCTAAGACTGTTTTGAAGCTTGTCCAGTGCATCATAAATGAGATTGAGGGTGGGCCCTGCAGATCTGGAGCCATCAGCTCAGTTGGGGATAGTCTACAAGTTGTCCTCTCTGCTGTTGATGAAGATGGGAATGAAGTTAAGTGGTCTGAAAAACTTGAATCGTTCACATTTCTCAGCTCTGGGGGTCATTTACCAGTTCCTTGTAGAAGAAGTAATCAGGTAAGTAGAAGTTCATTTCCAGAGGAGGTAAACCCCACTTAACATCTCTGCATGATTTCAGTGGGAATTGATTATCACTAATCCCCAACTGGGCTAGAATAAATGTAAAGTTTGACCTTTTTAAGAAGAAAAAGTCTTAACACGTTTAAAGGAATAGTAGAAAAGGAGCTGAAGGTGTCCCTTGGCTCTGAAATGAAGTCTCCTTTGTAGATTAGTCTCTTTCACTAAAAGTTTGCTTTCCAATGTGGTGCCTGACAGACCTTTCTTACAGATGGAATGAAACCCTTCAAAAGCAGGTGAGGTGCACGTGCATGCACCAGTCCCTGTCATGGGCACGTGTGACCCTTCGGTTCACACTGGAGCTGCTCAGACACAAAGAGCATGCCTTGCCACACATGTATATTTTTACGGCTAAGAACATCCTTATACTTTCTTAGATGCAATTTGAAAGTGAACATGACCTGTGAATGGAGGGGGCCTTCTATACTTGTTCCTTGGCAAAATTCTTTCAGGTGACTCCTAACTTCAGAGACAGGGGCTGTCTTTGGTACCCTATTGACAAGTAATAAAGTCTGGCTGTCATAACTATAACTTGTTTCTAAACTGGAAAAGACCCTGAGACCCTGAAATCACTCTGTTTTTTGCTTGAGTAAGAAAAATCCTTTTTATTTTCCTTTTGTACAATCAAAAGCTGAAGAGAAGAAAACACGCACTTCGTTCCCTTGCCGTCTCCTGGTACCCATTGGTCTGAACAGCTGCGGTTGGGCTACTTCCTTATTTAGCACTTGATTGTGTACAGAAACAAAGGGCTTGGGATGAAGGGGGAGGTGGGGAATACTGGAAATAATTAAGATTGTTTTTTGTTTCCTAGAGTTGGATTAGACACGTGGTATTGTTGACCTTCTTAGCATCTTCGTTTGCCTTAGATGGTAGTACTTTCCTGCCTAAAGTGGAAACAGTTCAAACCAGCATAGTGTAGGCCTGAGGGGTTGGGCTGCAAGCTTGATTTTGGAGGAATTCAAGGTACTTATAGGTGGAACAGCAGATGCTCAGGTACCCACTCCCTGTGACCACCATATTCTTTGACCATCAGGTTTACCATATGACTTTGATCCACATTTCTCATCTCTTTCCCCATTTGTTTGAGCTCAACAGACTTTGCAGGAGCTGGAGAACATGAAAAGGTGCCCTTGCTTCTCCTTGCTTTCCTCCCTTCCCTACTGTAATAGCTCTCCTCCCTAAGAAGTCCACCCAAAGACCACAGGCGGGGTTAATCTCCCTGGGCTTCCCCTACACAGCTGACTGCTGACACTAGAGCCCCTTGCTTTAACTACAGTCTCAACATAATCAGTGCTGGAAAGACAGCACCCTTAGGGGAAATCAAGCTGAGTTTTGCTTTTGTTATCTTTACCTGTAGTTCATTTGTGACTTCAGAATCCTTGGAGCTGAGGAGAGAAACCAAAAAAAGCATGATTATGCCTACCTGATTCAAGGTGGAACTTAATGCATTGATATCTAGAAACCCCTTCTTTTGGAAGTTGTGTACCTGTAATGTAAAAAGCCCTGGAGGCAGATGACACCTGAAATACATGCTTTCCAGCCAACTCAGCTGACTCTCTTAGCTCCTAAATGGGTGTGTGTGTGTGTGTGGTGTGTGTGTGTGTAAGGATCAGTGTAGTAAATGGCATTATAAAGTGTTAACTCCCCTTCTACCCCTTTCCTTTTTGGGGCACTGGAGGAAAAGACCATCTACGGGGGGTTAGACCTCTGGGTACTAAGGAAACTAACAAGTCAGTGAACACTCAAGCCCAACCCAGACTGATCTGGGAGATGTTCTGTTGACTCCAGCTATGGGGGTGGGCCCGGCAGCAAAGATGAGCTTCCCAGAGAGCTTTTGGTTGGTTCAGCTCTTTGTTCTCTTGACCCTTAAGTACTGACTGCTTTGATTTCTGTGATTATGTTATGTGATGTGTAGTCAATGTACCAATATGTTCACAACCTAGGATCATGGTAATAATAGTGTTTTTGGTTTTTTTAACTGTTCAGAAAAAAGTAACTTAAATTACAAATATCAGATTAAACTGAATTTTCTAAGTGTCTTGTCTCTTTACCCCAGTATCAAAGGAGAATGAGTGTTGTAAATATGCAGATTGAGAGAGTGCACACCAACTGCTCTGCTGGAGAAAGAGACCTGGCGATTTGCTCCCGTAAAGATTACAACCGAGGTGGTTCTACTCTGTCCTTTAGGGTCGCTATGAGTCAGAATCAACTCGACAGCACATAACAGGAACAGATTTAATACTTTCAAGATAAACTGCATGGAGAAAACAACTTTGAGATAAATCAGGGCAGGATGGTGTGAATAAGTACGGGGTCCCTGGCATAAAACAGTGTTCAGTGTTGAATTGAAGCCAAAATGATACCCGGTTTGCGAACTGGTCACCATCGCCCCAGCTCCCAACAGTGGATGGGAAGACTTGGATTTCCCTTGCATTCCACTTGACCAGTGAACTCATTTTTGGGAGTGATTTCCAGAGACTCCAACAAGCTAGACCATCTGGGTCTAGGAGATAACATTGTTGCTCCTGAGTGAACTTCCCCCTTACCCTGCTTACTCCAAACCTACAGAGATAGGTACAAGGTTGCAGGCAGTGGCAGGAAAGACTTATCTTCCCCTTTCTCCCCCTCCACCCTCTAGTGTCACAAGCAGGACCCATGTCAAAAGTTAACCCATCCTCATTTTAGACCTCTGGCTTTAGCCTTGTGTTCTCAGTGTCTTATCTGGACCGGCCTTGTGACCATTTAAGAGCTTTCTCAGACCCCTCACTGGAGGTAGACGTCAGGGCCTCAGCACAGACAACCAAGTGCTGAACTGTCACTGCTAGAGCTGGAAAAATATCAGAGTATCATGTGCACCCAGCGTTTTGCAGAAGAGGAACCTGAGGAGCAAGAGAAGGGACCCACATTGCCCAAGACCACTCTGAAGTCTACTCCCTTACAACAAAGGCAGGCAGCACCCTAGGGAGAGAAGTCGGGGAAGTAGGTTTCAGCAGAGGCTGCTCTGGGGTACTCACCAGCTGGGCCTCTGAGCCCAGAATTGAGCAGAGGCTGAGTCTAGGAGTTTATGGACCTCACCTTCTAATCCAATGCAGATCTCTTCCCCCAGGAAGGGTGGGGCCCAAGGGCATGCTTACCCTGAAGCCACTGTTTCTTACTGCCAGGCTGGGCATGGAATCCCTTTCCTCATTAAACCTATAGCTGTGCCACCATCAGCAATGACTAAGGGGAGGAGACCCCTCTTCTTCCTGATTGGCTCTTGCCAATTAAGAGCGTTTTATTAGGCTGCTAATTAAAGGCACTTCGTTAGCAGCAGGAGAGGCCGGGTGGGTGCCTGGTGAGATGGAGCCGAAGCGGGAGAAATTGTTTTCCTCCCCCCATGGAAGCAGAGCCTCTCAGGGAACCCTCTCACTCCCCCAGCCTCTCCCGCTGCGCCTACCACACCCCTTGCTTTCAATTAGCAGCTCTGAGGGGAGTGAGGTCATTACCAAGCCCAGGTCCGAGAGCCCTCCCCAGCCTCAGGCCACGTGAGTGCAGCCCCCAGGAGCTGTCCAGATCCCAGTGTACCTTGTTTGGGGCCTGGGCCCTGGGAAGGAGGGGCAGGGATGCCCAGTGGGGAGTGCTCTCTCCTTCTGAGGAATGGCCATTTGCCCTCCAAGCAGCTGGTGCAAATGTCCCCATCACCTAAGCCATCTCTAGCAGTCACCTAGCAGCCCTGATGACCAGCCACTTGGTCACATGATGTGAATCTCCATGCCCCTTCTTCACCAAAGGTTCACGATGTTAGGTAGGAAATGTGACCTTCCTACAAGTCAAGGACTGTCCCCAGGCACTTTTAAAGAGCTGAACCCTCATCGACCCAGAGTGGGTGGGTGGGGAGGTATGCTGGCTTCACAATTCCAGCCACACAGAACCATGAGAGACTCCTCCTTGGGTCTTGAACTCCTCAGACCCTTGAGGCACTTCTCCAGTGGTTCAAATGAGCCCCAGGCAAGTCCCCTTCCAAGAGAGGAGGGCCTGGCTGTGATTAGGCACATGGGGGCTGGAATTCACCGTCACCCAGAGAGACCACTCTCCAGATCCCTCCCTGTCCCATCTTGCTGCCTTCCTCACCCCCTCACTTAACTGCAGAATTAGCACCAGCCCAGGCTAGGAGGGCAGATTTATGGCTGGGCCGGCCTCCCTCCATTTAACCCAAGGCCAGCCCAGGCTCCAGCCACTAAATTAGATTTTTGACAATTAGAGAGACTAATGGGCACATAGCCATCCCCAGAGCCAGATATCCAGCAAGGCCATCCTTTAATATCCACCACTTCCCGGCTGCCCCCACCCCCACTGCCGTCCTCCTGTCCCTCCTTTGGTTGCCCTGTATCCTGTGCCCTGGCTCCGCACGCACTCCTGCGGTTTCTCTGGCTCTGTCTCCCTTCTTGCCCTCCTTCCAGCCCCTTGCCCAGTGCCAGCTAGGCTCGGGGACTCTGCCCCTCAGCACTGGCCTATTTGTCCTTCAGTCCTCTAGACGTCAGTCACTTCTCCATTGCCACCTTCTCCAGCACCCATCCACCTGTGATCTTTCCATCTGCCCCAGCAGATTGCAAGCCCCTTGAGGGCAGGGATTTGTGCCCTATCTGTGGATCCTAAACGCTCCACACACCTAATAGGTGCTTCGTAATGTTTGTTGTTTGTTGTTTTCTGAGACTCTGTCTCCTTGCTTCCCCTCCCTCTGAGCTGCTGGGTCCCCCCAACCCTCCCACCCCACCCTCCTGGCCCAGGACCAGCTCTGGCTCTGGCTTGGTGTTGCTGTGGGTGGGTCGGGTCCCCTTCCCAGCAGCCCCCGGCTCAGCCTGGTCTTGGGCTGGGCGGGTAATGAGATTGCAGTAAGTGGTGTTAGGGGGGTGGGGGAAGCCGCTCACATTCACTCAGGCAGACTCATAGCTCTGTCAGGCTGATTGGTCCTGAGTGGAGGCACAAATGGCCCCCCACGGACACGCGGAGATTGGTTATAAAATTACAAGCATTTGTTCTGCTGTCAGCATGCCTCCTCTCTCCCCTCGGCTTGCCTGCCTGGGCTCCACGCGGCCCCCACCCATCCCTCTCTCCCCTGGGGTCAACCCACACTCCGGAAGAACAGGAGCCACCAGGGCAGATGGGGCTGAGAGGCTCAGGCCACTGAGCTCCCCAACCAGGCAGAACTTCGTGCCTCAGCCCTGGATGGCGGTGCTCTGACTGGCCTCAGTGACCCTGGCCCTGTGTTCAGGGGTTCTTCATCCTAGTCCCTGAGGGTAAGTAGAGGTGGGCCTGGAGCAAACAGGCCTGGCATCCAGATGCCAGATCCCAAGGAGAGAAAGAGGTGTCCCAAGTTCCAGGCCTCCTTGGGACAACCACAATCTTTGATGTGTGTGGTTGTGGGCGTGGGGGGGGGGGTTGCCCTGCTAGAGGAGGGAGCAGCAGAACCCTGGTCAGTTGGAGGAGCCCGCCTCACCCCCACTCCATATGGCCAATCCCTGTCCTGCAACCTGACCCCCAAATAAGGGCAAAGAAGCCCTTAGGGGAGCTCCTCCTAGTCCCTGAAGCCCGGGCCAGACGTGCAAGCTAACACGGCTCAGCCGACCTTTGCTGTTGTTACTTCTCTGTGGGTTTAATCCCCTTGGCCTGGCCCTTGCACCCACCCTCAATGGCCATCACACCCTCAGGCCTTTGCAGGGGCCCAGTTACACCCCAGCAGGTACGCCTTGAAGCCCTGTTTTGTGCTCTCCTGACCCTGCTCCCCAGCCTGAGAGAGAAACACCACCCAGTCCCTCTTACCCTGGCCTCTTGGCCTCCTGCCCACCCAGATTACCCCAAAAAGGCCCAGCCCCCGGCCCTTCACTGGCCCCTCCACTCTAACCTCAGTCTGCCTGTGGGTCCCTTTGGCTTCCTGTCTGTAGGCACCAGGGCACCTGTAATCAGCTGGGGTGGGGGGTGCTGCAGGGAGGGTTTCCCAGCTTAGAGAGGGCACTTCAGGGGACAGCATCTCCTGGCTGCTGGCTGCAAGGTGCCTTCCTGCCATTCGTCATTCATTTTCAGCCCAGGATGTATTTGCTGTAATTACATCTTTAATTAGGTGGTGACGGCTCATTGTTCACCAACAATGATGGATCGGATCCTTCCACTCACCATCCTTCCTCTGTCCAGCAGCCTTCAAGTCAGCTCTCCCCCAGCTTTGGGTTTGGGGAGGATGTGCGAGACTCGCTGTCTTCCCACTGAGCCCAGCACGGAGGCTGGGAGCAGCATCGGCTCTACCCCAAGTATGATTGTGTCCTTTTGGACTCCTGGGCACCCCACCCCCCGCCCCAGGGCCTGGTTAGACCCTGACGCCTCCACCCCAGGCTCCCTGCAAAAAGGCTGCAGGTCTCTTAGTGGCCACCAGATGTCTCCTTGCCCCAAAGTGGCCATGGGGATGGCTCCATGTTGCCCTACTCCCACACACGCCACCATCACCACCTGCAGACCTGTCCCTGGGCCACACACCCCTCATCCGCAGGAGCTGACAAGCACAGAAAGCCTCACAACTCTGGGGTGCATGAAGGGGTGGCCCCATCTCCAAGCTCCCTGCCCACCCGGACCATATGCCTGGGCCCAAGTCTGCATGTGATGGGTGGGTCAGCCAGTGAGAGAAAATCTGCTCCCGGATGGTGGGGTGCATCCTGAGCAGAGGGGCCAGGATAGGCAGTGAAGGCCCAGGAACCATGAGGAGGCCATGTGGGGCTAAGAACCCTAATCTAGGTTAAAATCCCCATGTGACAGCCTACAAGCTCCATGACACTGGATGAGTTCCCTAAGCCCTCTAAGTCTCAGTTTCCTCACCTATGAAATGGACAAACTCAGTGCCCTACCTCATAGGATTGTTGCAAGGACTCATGGAAACCTTGCAAGTGAAGTGAAGAGTACAGGCTAAGTTGATGGAAGCTGCAGGTAAAGGTGGGGGCTGAGCAGCTATGGGAACTGATCTCCAATGTGGCTGGGCCCGTGGGCACAAGGTGCTGGGAGATAGACTAGACCTTAGTTTGAGGAAGATCCTGCCAACGCCAGGCACGGTTGAGCACAGAATGGTGTGGGTGGCAGGGCTGTGACAAGGGTGGGGTAGGATCAGGCCTACAGCGTTGCCCAGGATATACTTGCTGTTCTGAATTGGCTGACCTCCTTGTAGAGGCTGCAGAGGCTCTTACCCAAGGTTGTCAGGATGGGGGTGAGTCGGCCCTGGGGCCAGGTGGGCAGCCATGCTCTGGAAGGGGCTGGGTGGGAGCCTTG